AAAAAAAAAAAAAAGGTAGCTTTTCCATGAAAAAAAAAAATGCTGCTGGATTTGCAGCAAATCCAGGTGCCGCCGCGAGCCGAGGGCTGCCGGGGTTGGGCATCGAGCGCCGCTTCCTCCCCGCATCCCGCGGGAAGCGCGTCCGGCCGCGGCGGCTCCTGCGGCAGCACCGGAGCGGGGGAACCCCAGGGGTTTCTCCCGGGATGTTGAGGGGAGCGGACGGTCCCGGCGGGATTGCTGGGGCGGGATTCGGGGAGCGCAGGCGGCTCTCCCATTGGGCGCCTGCTGGGCGGTGATGTCATCRGCAGCCAATCCGGGCGGCCGAGCAGCCTTTCCCTGCGGTCTCTTCCCTCCTTCCCTCTTTCCTTCTCTTTATTCCAAGCCCAATTTAATGGGCCTGGCTTTAACCCTGCYGGGGCCTTCCCGGGGATCCCTGAGGAGACCAAGACGGGATCCTAGGGGAAACTGAGCTGGGATCCCGGGAAAGAAGGCAGCATGCTAGGGAACCAAGGCAGGATCCCAGGTAACTAGGACAGGATCCTAAGGGAAGACAAGGTGGGATCCTGGGAAATCGAGGCAGGATCCTATGGGAAACCGAGGCTTGAGCCCCCCTGAGCCCCCTGGCACCGGAAACAGCTCCAGCAAAGAGGCCTCCAGCATTCCCAGCCTCCGGCAGAGCCGCCACTTTGGGAATGGCAGGAGGGGGAGGCAGGCCGGGAAACGAGGCCCAGGAGCCAAGGCCGCGGCCTCCCGGAGGGCCAAGGCCGCGTGATCCCGGGATGACTCCAGCTGCCTCCGCGTCCCGTCCGTCCCGGCAGCGCCGGCGGCTCCACGCGGTGCCAAGCGCCGGGCACAAGGGCCCCTTGTGCCGCGCGGAGCCGCCCATGCCCATCACACCCCTGTCCGGAGAGCCGCGGAGCTGGGAGGCGGGAAAAATCCCGCATCCGCCACGCGCTTCCCGGGGGGAATCACGGCCCCGATGCCGCCCCCCGGCCCGYTGCGTAACGGAGGACGCGGGCACCCGGACAGAGCCCAAGGGGGGCGGCCGCAAATAGGACGGGAGGGACGGGAGCCAGGGGAGGCTGGGGACAAGGACAGGGCCAAAATAGACTCCGGATCTGGGACTCGGCCCCGTTCGCACCAGGAGCAGGAGGAGGAGGAGGAGGAGGAGGAGGAGGAGGAGGAGGATGGCGCCCTGAGCCCCCTGCATGGGCCGTGCGGCCCCTTGGTGTCACTGGGGCAGCATCGGGTCCCCCGGGGCTCCCCGTCCCGCTGCATCACAGGGTGATTCCCCTCTAGGGTTGAAAAAAAATGAAAAAAAATGCAAAAAAAATGCAAAAAAAATTGCAAAAAAAATGCAAAAAATGCAAAAAAAAAAGCAAAAAAAAATGCAAAAAAAAATGCAAAAAAATTGCAAAAAAATGCAAAAAAAAAAAAAGAAAAAAAATGGCCTTAAAAAGTGGGGAGGATAAAAAGCACTTAAAAAAAAAAGTTCCGTTTTTTCGTTTTTTTCCTCCGTTTTCTTTCTCCCCAAAAGAGCTGCCCGGGCGTGACGTCAGCGCCCGGTGCCGGTCCGGTGCGGGGCGGGGCGGGCTCCGGCCGCCGCCGCCCGCGCGCGGACCAATGAGCGGCGCTCGGGGCTGCGCCAATCAGCGGCGGCGGCGGTGATGTCATGGGGCCGGGGCGGGGGGGGCGCTGCTCGCCCGAGCSCCCCGTTAAAGCAGCCGGGCGGGCGGCGGGCGGCGGCGGGCGCAGGCGGGTGAGTGGCAACTCGCGGSGTTATCGGGGTTTATTGATCATTGATGCTTTTAATTTGGGGGTTGCATTGCAAAAGTTAAGGGTGGGGGCGCCTGCTTTTTTTATTTTGTTTTATTTTTTTTTTTTTTCCACCTTTTTTTGCTTTTGTGCGCGCCGGGCGGTGCCCCCCGTGCTGGGGTCTCCATGCAGCCCCCCYATCCCGGTGCAAATCCCGTGTTTCTCCCCCCACCCCCGGCACCGCCTGGGTGCAGGAATCGCCCCGCGTGGGATCCCGCTCGGTGCCGCACGTGGGGGGCACCGCCCGGACCCCCCTCCGGACCCGCACCCCTCTGGGATCCTCCCGGCTCCTCCGGARCTTCCAGCCGGGAGCCCCCCCTGTTCTAGGGCAGGGGCCGGGGGGGGTTGAGGGGGCGGCAGTTTGGGGGTGACAGCAGGGGCAGAGCCCAGGGGGCCCCCAGCCACATACGAGACACYGGAGAATCCCAGTCCTGCCGTCGGGTCCCCCCGGCCATCCCAGCGCTTCCCAGCACCGTGTGAGGGATAACGCCCAGCGGCAGCGCCGCTTCCACGGACACTGCTGTGGATGGGCCACGCACAGACCCCCCAGCATTTTGAACCCSCTTTTCAGGGAATTTTTAAAGGGATTTTTGAAGGGATTCTGCCCCCTTTCCATGGAAACGAGCCGTTTCCACGGAGCCATCCCCCCCCAAATCCAATGTATCTTTCTGGCAAAACCAGCAGGGGCGTTTCCAGCGGGAACACGGGCGCTCCACGGGTGCCCCATGGAGAGGGTGCTGTGCGGAGCGGGGCGCGCTGAGCACGGCGCCTCTCTAGACACGTGTGAGGGCTGCAGCCGGGGGGCTGCGACGGGGGTGCGGGGGTGTCCGCGCCGCCTGTGCGGGGGTGCGTGGGGGTGTACGTGCACAGGCGGCTGCGGGTGACAGGGGGTGCGTGGGGAAGGATGGGGGGAGCCGTGTCTGCCTGTCCTGCTGGGGTGTCTCCCTCGTCCGTGTGTCCATCCTCTGTGTCCCTCACCCGCGTGTCCATTGTCCACGTGTCCATTGTCCACATGTCCCTCATCCCTGTACCCCTCATGCCTGTGTCCCTCATCCCTGTGTCCATCCTCTGTGTCCCTCATCCACATGTCCACTGTCCCTGCGTGTCCCGCCTCGTGTCCATCCTCCGTGTCCCTCATCCCCGCGTCCACCGTCCCTGCCTATCCCTCATCCCTGTGTCTATCCTCTGTGTCCCTCATCCGCGTGTCCATCCTCCACGGCACCGCCCTACTCTGTTCTCATCGCCGGGATGCGTCCCTGTCACCACAGTGTTGTGTGCCCATCGCGCCGCGCTGCTGGGTGCCCAGCACTCCCCACCACGTGCCCATCACAGCACCCAGTGCATGCCCATCACCCCACTGGGTGCCCATCACCCCACTGGGTGCCCATCACCCCACTGGGTGCCCATCCCACCCCACCATGTGCTCATCACATCACCCCAGTGCATGTCCATCTCTCCAGTAGGTGCCCATCACACCACCACCCATCATACCCACCACCCCAGTGGGTGCCTATCACCCCCCACCAGTGCATGTCCCTCACACCAGTGGTGTCCATCACACCAGGACATGCCCATCACACCCCACCAGTGCATGTCCGTGTCACCACAGCATCCTGTGCCCATCTCACCACGCTACTGTGTGCCCATCATCCCAGTGCATGCCCATCCCAGCACCCCAGTGCATGTCCATCATGGTGGTGGATGCCCACCACACCATTGCATGTCCATCACAGCAGGAGGTGTCCATCAGATCACACCAGTGGGTGCCTGTGTCTCCAGTGGCTGCCCACCACCATGGTCTGTGCCCATCACATCACACCATGTGTGCCCATGACACCAGGAGGTGCCCGTTGCCCCACATTGGTGCCCATGCATTGCCCACAAGCGGGTGGCCCGGTTGGGAGGGCTGGACCAGACGGTGCCCGCGAGCCTTGGCAGCCCCACACGCTCATGCCCGCTCTCCTTCCTCCCCAGGCCTCCAGGAGCTCAGTGGCTGCAGACGTCCCGCAAGGCGACACCATGACTCTGGCTGGTACGGAGGGAACATGGGGACCGCTCAACCGGGATCCTTCCCATGTGCCCATCGGGTCCCCATCCGAACCCTGCATGCCTCAGTTTCCCCCTTCAGAGAGAGCCTTTGCCAGCCCGGCTCTGCCGGCTGCCACGAGCCCACATGCAGGATTTGGAAGCCCCATCCCACCCACATCCCTGCCTCGAGGTGGCCGCGTGTCCCCAACACCAGCCCACCCGCCCACCATGTGCTCTCTCTCCAGCTTACAAGGAGAARATGAAGGAGCTGCCCCTCGTCTCCCTCTTCTGCTCCTGCTTCCTCTCGGACCCCTTGAACAAGCCAGGGTACACGTACGAAGGTAGGAGCATGGCCACGGAAGGTCTTGGGGTGTCCCCTGTGGCCAAGCCAACCCTCACTGTCCCCTCTCTCGGCAGACACGGTGGACCTCACCTGGTGCGTCATCTCCGACATGGAGGTCATCGAGCTCAACAAGCGCACGTCGGGGCAGTCCTTCGAGGTGATCCTCAAGCCCCCCTCCTTCGACGGCATCCCCGAGTTCAACGCGTCTCTGCCGCGGCGCCGCGACCCTTCCCTGGAGGAGATCCAGAAGAAGCTGGAGGCGGCTGAGGAGCGGAGGAAGGTAGATACCATGGTCACCTCCCCACTTGGGCCAGCACATCCAATGGCACGAGCCATGATGTGGACAGGGACCCGTTTCTTCATGGCCAGGATCCCCCATGCTGGTTGCATGGGGACAACCCCATTCCGTGGGGTTGGATGCAGGTTGGTGRGTGCCTCATCCCTCCCCATCTCCACTCCCAGTACCAGGAGGCCGAGCTCCTGAAACACTTGGCGGAGAAGCGGGAGCACGAGCGGGAGGTCATGCAGAAGGCCATCGAGGAGAACAACAACTTCATCAAGATGGCCAAGGAGAAGCTGGCGCAGAAGATGGAGTCCAACAAGGAGAACCGCGAGGCGCACCTAGCTGCCATGCTGGAGCGCTTGCAGGAGAAGGTGAGGACCAGGGCGCGTGGCGGAGGACAGGCAGGGGGGACAGAGCTGCATGGCTTCGGAGCGGGCTTAACCCTTGGGTGGCGTCTCCCTCTCCGGTCGCCCGGCCCCGGGGACCCCCAGGGACCATGCTGAGCCCGGCCCGTCGCCCCAGCGCTTCACGGTGTCACCCATGYCGCGGGCCGACACGAGGGCCCCGTCCCGCGGCCCCACAGACAGGCCCCACGAGGCAGCTGGCGGCCTGCGCGCCCCGCGGCGCCCGCGCGGCGCCTTCCCCGCGCGGACCTCTCCTTTCTCCCCCGAAGCAGGTGTGCTCRCAAGGCGCGCCCGGACGGTGCCACCCGCAGCTCCCTGCGACGCGGCCCTGCTGCGCGGAGCTGGCGCCGGGCCCCGCCGCCGGCACCCGATAATGGCGGAGCGCGCCCGCCCGGCCCCGTCTCCCCCGGGGGGCTCCGGTTGACGTCTACCTCCTAGCGCGGACCCGTCCCCGAGGGCCCCGGCGGCTCCTTGGGGCAGAGAGGACGCCCTAGACCCGGCGCCGCGTCCCTCCCGGCGAAGGCTCCCGTCYCGGCGGACCCCTGCGGCCCTAACGCGCCCCCCCTTCCCCTTGTGCCTTCCCCCCGCTTCCCGCAGGACAAGCACGCGGAAGAGGTGAGGAAAAACAAGGAGCTCAAGGAAGAGGCGTCGAGGTAAAGAGCCCGCCGCGGCGGCGGGCGGGACTGGTGGCTCCGGCGAGGCCGCGCGGGCGACGACGACGACGATGGCGGCGGCACCGCTGCAATGGGGGGGGGGGACGGCTCCTCCGCTCGCTGTGTTTGTGGATGTGACGAGCTGTGAGCGGGGCCGGGGCGGGGAGGGAGGACGAGGAGGACGAGGAAGGCCCCGCGGACGCGGAGCGGGGCACGGGGACGGGGTGGGCGTCGTGTGTGTGGCTTGATGTGGCGGCGGGCGCGCGGCCGCCCGAGGCRCCGTCCCGCGAGGGCCGCTCGTCACGCGAGCCGCCCTTCGGTTCCATTTGCGTTTTGTTTCGGTTTTCCCTTTTTTTTTCTTTCTTTTTTTTGTATACGACGGTTGTAAATAAACTGCCTTGGCGTTTCGTTTCCGCTCTCCGTGCGTGGCTGTGTGGGGGGCTTGGGGAGACGGAGTTGGGGGGTAGGGGGCTGAGCAAGAAGCTGGGGGGCTCCCAGGGGTGGCTTTGGTGGCAGTATGGGGACAGCTCTTGGGAAGGGGCCATATCACGGGGATGGAATAAATATATAAATAAAATGTTATATATAGATAGAGAATATCTTTAAAATGTGTAAATATGCCCCCGGCATGGGTGGGGGTTGAAGGAGGCGCGAGAGGCTGAGCAGCCTCTGTGGGAGCCCTCCCGAAACAAAATCCCTCCCGAAACATCGTCCCTCCCCAAACAAAATACTTCTGTTTTCAAATATTTTATTGACCTAAACACGCCCCAAGGGGAATCGATGCATTCAGGACCCCCATGGTATCTGAAGACCCAGCCCTTGGGCCATTGCATCTCACCAAGGGTTCCTCAGGAATGGTCAACCCAGGAGCCCTTCCCTGCTCTCCTCCCAGTCTCCCTTCAGTTTTCCAGTCACGGGACTGGAGATATGTGGAGCACGACTGTGGATGAAGCAGGATTRGAACCAAGGGGAAAATCTAGTTAGGGTTAGGGGATTCATTGGGAAGGAATCTGGCTTAAGAGAGAGAGGTGCAATGGAGAGAATAGGTGGATGCAGAGATAGAAAATGGAGACTTGTAACTCGGCAATAGTCACGGGCGATCCACGCAATTTAAAGCAATTCATACAATAAAATGTAATTTTATTGTTGTGTTGAGCGATGTGAAAATCCAGACTATAGAGTAAAACCTGTGATGTGATTATTAGTTATTTGGGTTATTGATTATTCGGGTGATTTATTAGTCTCGTAGTAGCGTATCGCCTAGCTGACGAACACCAGAGCTTTTCAGCTCAGCTTGTTTCAAGCCCGCACGGTAAAGGCAGAGGGTCGGCCTCTGAAGCAGCAGTGTTATTGCAGACACATGCACCGCAGAGCAAGGACCTTCTCCATCCCTTCTCCGTCCCACCACCAGTACCCCGATACACGTTATAAGCAATGGGATAGCACCAGTGTAGACCAGCTCATTGCAACACTAGGTCACCATCAAACTCCAGGAGGACTGATGAAGCAAGGCTAGCAAAGAGAAGGATGAATTTTGATGTTTTATAGCTTGAGATAATAGTTTTTCGGATGTGTAGGTAATTTTCCTGCTTGGTTTGCTGGTGAAAAATGAAGGTACAGGAGGAAGAACATAGTCCAGACCCGAACGAAAGCTACAGAAGCCATCAGGGAGTTAATCCAGCATCCAATGGGAGACAATGAGTTGAGCGGAGCAGTGTTTTGTCACTAACGCATCTGCCATTCTTGTTCTCTGAACCTGCTTTGAACTCGTCTGCTCACATGAAACAGGAAAGAGGTAATCTAATTAAATMTTCATCACCAAACGGGAGAAGGGCTGAAGCTAAGTCACAGTCTTCATCTCTAGGTCCCGCAAGGARGCAACGCCAGGGAGAAAAAGGAGGGGATCTTGCTGCGACTTCAAATGAAAACAAAGAATAAAAGACCACCACAACAAGTCTTGTATCTTCTTTACCCAGAGTAAGGCAGCAAAAAAAGAGGACTTAAAATCATGTGTAACCATCTCTGCAGACCACTTTTAAGGTAGTTAGACAATTCACCAGAAATTCTTTGCTCAAGGAGGGATRAAGACATGAAATGGGAATGCAAAGTGGCCACTTGCAGCGTTCTGACTTTCAAATCCTTTTACTTGGAGCGTAATTATTGCAGGTAGCTAAGGTCCATGGGTGAAACACGAGACCCCAGTGAGAGATGGCGATGACCACTGCACGATGTGTCCTGGCTCTGCCTGCCTTCCCCAGCGACCATCTCAGCCCCTTAGAGCCCTCCTCACACATCCCTGTGCTTGATTTTGCAAAGGCGTCACCTTCCCTCGATGGTCTAGGAGAGCTCTTGCCACCCAACACATGTCAAAGGCCTTGGCGCTCCTGCTGTTGGTTCTTGAGGCTGATCCAAAAGCAAACAGGCAGCAAGAGGGATGGTGCCTCCATCCCTCAGCGCTCTCCAGCAACAGTTTCTTCTTAAAGCCAACTATTTCCAGCCCTCTGTTTCCTGGGTTTGCCACCAAAAGAAACGAAGACCACCCCAAACTCCTTCATGGAGAGATATGGGGCCGGAAAGTACGTGGTCGAATCATCATGACGACCTTCTTCAGCGAGTAGTAGTCTGTGTCCTTCCATGAGTACCACACGACACCATCTGGCCCCAGGACCTTGCGGTTTTTAATAGAGTAGCGGCCACCCTGTGAGGTAGAGAAAGGGCAGTCAGGTGTGGGAGATACACGAAAGCATCACCCAGATAGGAACTCTTAAAAAATAGGTGCTCCAAAGCATGGGAGCGAAGAGCTTAGAGATGACACAGCAAAAGGAGCATGTAAAGCATTTTCTGAATGCTCCCGAGGGAGCTGATGTCCCTCGGTCTCAGGCCACGTGAGTCTCCCAAACAGGGAGCTGTCATTGCACAATCCCAAAGCCAGTTTGCAAGGRTGTCTCACAACCCACAACACAGAGAGGTTGGACTGAATTGGTGCCCAGCCTTGATTTCATTCCCTGCCTGGTCAAGCCAGAAAGGACTTCTGTGACGTAACGACCGATGGTCACTCCTAGCCTTGGACCTGGTCTGGTGACACCCATGTCCTCCTCCCTCCACCTTACCTTGTAGTACACCCCRTTGAGGTTGGAGAAGAAGCACTGATGGTACCACCAGCCCCCATGGGAAATCTCGGCACAGATGTTGCCCGTGTCGGGCGTGCTGAAGCTCCTCTTGTTGTGGTACCAGGCAAAGGAGTCCTCCACCGTCCCGCTGAAGCCGTCCACGTGCAGGCGGTAATAGTTTTCCTCGTCCTCAATGCTGCAAACAATAGGAACAGCTCAGACTTCTTAGCAACAGCGTCTCCCTCTCCTTTCCAGCCTGGATGGTGCATTCTTCGCATGGACACCCTACAATTACCGAGCTGCTCCAGCCAAGCTCTGTGTAATTATCCATCACCTTCAAATGCTAAAGATGCTTCATTTCGCCTTTCTGTGGGATGCACATGCTTTTGTCATGACTCAGGGCACTTGTTGGGAGCCTGAGGTGGGCAGAGCGTGGCKCTCAAACCACAATGAACGATGGCAGCAGCTTTGGCAAGACGGCTCCTCTAATTACCCAGCGCTGCCTCCTCTCCTCTGAAGAAGCCTCTTGCTCTTCAGTAATGCTCAAACTAATCAGTAGTTTGCTCCTAGGCCAGCACAAGCTGAAGGTCACCGCCACTGAGCATGATTTTGGTGACAAAAGCCAGGGTGGCTCTTCAGGACAACCCTCTGCAGAKGCTCCTGGGCACATTCAGTCAATGAGGATTTTTGCCCAGCAGCTTCAGCAATGTTTGGGTCTGCTTGAAGCCCTCCAGCTCCAGATGTCATTAAAGTGCAATGCTTAAGGGCATGCACTCCCTTGGACATCCTCCTGCCATGGGGAATCCCACACCCACCCACAAGACGTTTCTGGTGGAGAGAGAGAAGAGGTTCATGTGGGACAGTCTAGGCAGAGCTGGTCACCCCACTCACAAAAGGATGCCACGGATGCTGCTAAATACAAACACCAGGCAACGTGCAGAGCTGTAGACACTAAAGGAYGGTGGTTGAGGAACAGCAGGTAAAAGCCGTGAGCACAGAGTGAAAAACAAAATGTGAGTCTCGGCCATCACAGCAGGGAGATGCTGAAGGACCTGCCCAGCAGGAACAGGGGTGTGGAACTCTGCTTTGGCCATGGAGCTAGGTAAGTTCAGCAGAAACATCAGCCCCGAGCTGTAAGGGACTGCTCCTTGTGGGTGCTGGCTGTGGCTCAGCAATGCTGTACATTCACTAGCTCAAGCTCCAACCTGGGAGTGTTCATGGTCAAAGCAGGCATGGAAGAGAGGACCCAGTCCAAAAAGCAGGAATGGAAGAGTCACTTTGACTACAATGGGGTCCACCAGCACTGAACCAGCTATGTGTGCCAAGAACCAGGGAATGCCATGCCACTTTCTACCTGAAGACCTGGTAGAAGGCGTGTTTGTGCTTGTTGTTCCAGTCCTCCAGGTCGATGCGCAGGGAGTAGTCCCCTTGGCTCGTCACCTTGTGGATGTTCTCGTTGCCCAGCCAGAACTCACCGTTGAGATCCCCAAAGCCCTCTTTGTAGTCGTTCCAGGTGCGGTTGAAGTCAACTGAGCCGTCCTGACGCCTCTGGATGACTGTCCAGCCCCCACCTGCCAGGAGGGACATAACGTAACGTGGGAAACACCAAGGCACATCGGGGGTCCCAATGCCCACGCGTGGGTCAGAGTCCGCACCAGCATCGCCTGTTGTAGCCCAAAGAGGTGTCTCCTCCCCACACCCCCTCCCACCAACGAGCAAAACACAACGTTGGTTGCTGCATGGGGACCATCCATGATGCACAGCCAGAACTCAAGGAAAGGTTCTCCCACGTTGGCTCCAAGATGCCATGACCTTGTTGTCTGTAAGAGGGTCATAGCAGCTTTAAGGTGATTTTAAATGAGAGAAAGCTGATTGTTTTGGGGAAGGGAATGTTTTGGGGCTGGGAGGAACTGGAGAGCCTGGAGTT